CTTCTTGAAATCCTCTTACAAGAATGAATGTTTTTTTAATATAATTATTTAGAACAGTTCTGCCACCAATTTTTTTAAATTTAAAGAAATTAAATTAATTTACAAATTGACTATGATACATATAAGGTCAGGACTTGGACTGAATCAAATTTATTTGCCAAATTGGTCCAATCTAATATCGATATAATTAATTTAGCCTATTTAGCAATTATAGAAATTTTTATACGCAATAAAACTAATAATCTTAGATTAGTAAAACTAATAACATGCCATAATCTAACATTTATATTTCTAAATATACTTTATTGAAAAAAAACCATTCAAAATTGAATTATTTTCAATACGAATATAACTTTAAAAGATATTAGTCAAATTGGATGTTTAACAGGCTCGCTTAATAAATATGAGAAAATAATACTTCAAACCTAATAATTTGATTGGCAAACATTCTTACCGGCGTTTCTTGGTTTAGGGAAATTTTTACAATTCAAAAGCCGATTCGTATAAATAACTTGTTTGTGCCTGGTAGTTAAGTCGTATTGATGTGACTTTATTTGAATATTTGCCTGAATCTACAATTTCTTTAAATTGCTTATATATTTTGGATTCATAATTTCGCAAATCTTTTAAAAGTTGTAGCAACTCCTTAGTTAACTCTTTAGCGGTTGGTCGGTTTTGAGGCTCAGCATCTAAGCAGATATTCATCAAATCCAAAAGTAATTGTGAAACTTTGCATCTGATTTCGGGTCTTTTATCTTTACAGATTTGACGTGATAAATTTGTATTGCTAGCAAATGACCCGTGGCGAAGCCGCGGGAGTTTATATAATAACTTAGTAAATTTAAATATTAATAATAAGCAATAAAATAATGTTATTCGTAGAGAACACGAGACGCTTTTATATTTTTCAGAATTAAGTTTAACAAGAATAACACCGATATATGAGCAGCAGACGAAAAAAGCCTGTAAATGTACTTACAAACATACAACTTATTGAAGCTTAACCTTTGAATAATCGACACTATGCGTAGATTCAGTATAAATAATTTCAATACATATTTATTGCGAATCCCATTTTTTTATTACATATAATCATTTGGGATCAGATTCTTTAGGGGCTAAGTCCGATGAAGTTAAGTTGCAAGTCAATTTCAGATTTTCTTTGTTTGTCACCCATAAAATAAGTTGATTAACAATATATTTTACTGTAATGTTCCTTGTAATAAGCCAGGCTCTTGCACAAAACATTAACTATGCAGTAAACAAGGTAACTATTGGCATCGTTTCTTTCTAAACACTCTAAGTGCTAATCAGTACCTTTTTTTTCAACTTTCTTCTACCTAAGCCGATATTTCAGATTACTTCATACACTGCCACGACACACTTTTTTCCCCGGAGTTTTCTTAAATCCTCGTTGTTTACATTCATCGATTGTTCTATTGATCTTTAAGCCACTGAACCCTAACGACGATCATACCATAAGAAAATCACACTTTTAGAATACACGCAAATCCAAAATAATTTTACAAGTTATATCTTGGTAGCATCCATATTTAGTATCGATAGACAATTCTTTCATTTAAAAGCCATTTGCTACAATCATTTAATTGATATAAATTCTGCGATAGCACTACTTGTGCTTTAAAATGCAATTAATTATTAGCAAATATCAAAAAAATCAGTTTATTCGTCACCGAGCCTTATCTTTAGATCTTTATCCCCTTCTTTTTTAATCCAATAAAGACGCCCATCGAAAACTGCAACTTATATTTTTAAAAATGTGGAATTCAATAAAAACTTATGACATGAATATTCCAAAAGAAAAACTTCTGACATGAAAATTCCAAAAGAATAAGTACCTGATTTTTGAGTGTACTTTTTTTCACCCGTATATAATATTTCTGAAACAATATAAGAATTAGACCAAACAGTACTACAGTGCTTGAATCCTGAGACACTGGCCTATATAA